ACATTCTAACCCTGATATATGCAGCAACATTGTGGTAAAGAAATAATCCCCATTTCCTCCCTCAACTTTAAGGGTCCTGGGACACAAATGTCACCTTTCTATAGTAGAGTGTAACTCATTCTATTTGTGGCTGCTTAGAAAGAGGTGGAAGAATATGGCAATAATCCAGGGATGACTTGAAATCAAACGGAAGTTCACATGAGGCTACGAATGCCAACATGAAAGAGCAAAGCCCAAAGGATGCTATTTTTGAAGGCCAGATCTTGTGTGGACATTACATACTTCGAGTCCTCCTATTCAGGAGTAATCTTTGTGCCGGCACACAAGGACATGTTAATCATCTTTTTGATGAATGTCCCAAGAACTAGCCAAATAAAGCCAGCAACTGCAAGGAAGTAACTTAACAGATCTGGTATGCCCAGGAGGCAGGGCTTTGAGTGATTCAGTCAGTAACAGGAAGCATTGAATATGTTTTGAATAAAACACTGTTGCTGTCCGTAAAGGATACATTATACGATTAAAAATTCATCCTATATAAATCATCAGAAAGACACCATAGAAATAAAATCATTGAAGTTTCAGGTGGATAAGACCTCAGAGAACAAATTGGTTATTTCTTCTGCCAAAGCACTGTCCCATAAAATTTTTTGTATAGCTTTGTGGAATCTACTTTTAAATGTATCAGGCAACTTAGATTTTTTTAATTTACCAAAAAGAACAATTCACTTGCTTAGGAAAGAAATCTTATGGCAATTTTATCTGTAATTTTCTTTTTATGAATTAATATCACTTAATTTCATAGACTGTTCTTAGTTTCCTTTGTCTTTGGCTTGCCTCCTAAAGTCGCATGCCATTTTTCTTTAATTTCTGTATTTCTTGTAAATGCGTAACTCTGTGTCCTCTATCTGACATTTTTACCTCTTTTGTTAAAACACCCTCAATTGTTTCTTTCTGGAGTTTTTGCCAAGAAGAAAGCACAATATACTAAATACAACTTCCACAGAACCATAAAGAGAGGAAATAATATCTCATTATCATTATGATGCTTTCATATATGCTTCTGCATTGCTATATCCCACTGCAAAATCACGTCTAATTTTTTAATACTACTCCAGGTGACTCGGGATTACGGGTTTCCAGAATTTCCACTGAAATTTTCGATGCAGTCTCTCATTTGTACTGTTTTGAGTCAAGTCTCATTTTGCTATGTTCTGTCCATGTTCTACTTCCCTTTTCCTTTCTGCTTCCTTGGTTTCAATACTCTGTCCAATTTAATGTTATTGGCTAACATGAGGATTATCTTGGTCAGCACCTCCTCTGTATCTTTAGCAAAATAATGCTGACTCTAATCCCTACAGATCTCCTCCTCTGAAGGCAAAGTCTGTGTTGTATTTGGGTCCTTAGGATGGCTTTTATCCACCCAGCAATGTGTGAATACAAGTCAATTATAATTAAATGTAAAAGTAGACTTTTCTGTAGTAGACATCCAGATATTTTCGTAACGTTTATATATCATATGTCAATTTGGTAGGTTAAGGTTGTGATCTTCAGAGGTGAGGGAGAGAGGAAGGCAGATAAGGGAGTTAAGCCTTGAGCAAACAGCAACTTTCAATGAGATTTCAGCATCTTACTGCTAAAGACTTTTTTAAGAACCTGTTCAGATCGATTTGCCACTATTACAGGCACAAGAGGTGGGTGTGGAAGCCCTGTCGGGGTACTTAAAACAGCCGTTCCATCCAGAAACACATTAAAAACTACCCTCTGCAGCATGAATTTATGTACTAGTGGAAGGTGTCCCAGAAGAGTTCCTGATGGATCCTGTTGTCTCTGCCTGGTACACCTCCTCTACTCACTCACTCAAAGGAAAAGGAGAGTATTTGTCCTTTTTGCCTTCTTTTGGCCTCTTTACACCCCATTTATGCACAGTACATACAGGAGAACCACCTCACTGCTTTTACCTCTCTGTGACATTTCACTCTTTTTCTCCTCTGAGTCTTTATTTAATTTAGTTTAATCACAGGCTACAGCAAGTGTTTAGTGATCTGCGATTCCCATGATTATTCCCTTTTCCTCTTTTCTAAGCTCAGTATTGTGTTTACTTAGTGCTGCTCTCCTGGGCGGTTTCCAGTTTTCCATGAGCATTCACTATTGATTGCTAATGGTGTGTTAACTTGGTGTATTGAATCCCTTTATGCCCTACAATGTGCCTTGTCTGGATATGCTGATTTGCATATGTTTCAGGCTTTCTAGATATTTCTCTACTTACATTTCTATGAATTCTAACAGGCTCTTCTGACTCTTTTTATTGATCCCCTTGCTGGGTTCCTTTAAAAAGAGTTTATTTTCTTAGCAACTGAATTTTGATGAGTTACATCTTCCTCATCAATTGTTATTATGTTTCTAGTTCTTTTCTTTCCATTGCTGAGTTTATGGAAACCTTCTTAATCCCTTTAACCTTTCTGGCAAAGAGTAACCTTTGCTTCTTTCCTAATTAGCTTTCCTAATCCTTCCCTCCTCTCTTCCTTCTTTTCCCTCTGGTTCTTCTAGTCCCAGTTTAGACCCTCAAACCTTTGTCTAGTGTTTTCTGAATCCATGGTTGTTGCCTTTCCTTATTTGAAGGCTTTTCTGAAGATATCCTGTCTGTTTTGCCTTGCACGTTCCCCATCTCCCTTTGATGCTGATGGATTCTAATATTTTCTGAAAACTCATCCTGATAATAACTCTCAGGAATATTTGATTCTTTAAGATGTTTTCCTTGTAGTCTATTGTAATTGCACCATATTGTGTTATTGACAATACTATCGAGCTGACATTCTCACAGCTTTCTTTGATTTCTGTCTGTTAGAAACAATTATTGCCAACGAGGCTCCTTTTCTCCTTGGAACCCCTATATTCTACATCCTACAGCTGTATATGATTTAGGACTATTTTGGTGATCTGTGTTTTGATGTATTTATAACAGAACAGATAATGGCTAAATGCATTCCCTGACGAACAGTATCAGAAAGTTCTGACTGCTAAAACTTGGTATGACATTTTTTTCCACCATCATATACCATTGGTAGTCTATAGAAAATGGGCTCTGTACAACAGCTGCATTCTGAATATGGATTTTTTAGAAGCTTTATGCATGTCTTTTTGTTCTGACTCTCTTTTTAAAAGGTCTCTTCTCAGTTGTTTGCAGTCCTTTTGAGCAGAGCTTTAAAAACCCTAGCCAAGACTATGACCTTCTGGATGCTGCAGCTAATTGCAAACAAGTAGCTTCCATCCCCGATTGCAAGCATTGCTGGTCTGTTCACTCTTGCCCATTTTACCCGAAGTTCAGCATTTCTCTGAATTCAGCTATAAATTTTGCATTGACTGTGTATACTGGAAAACAGAAGGCCCTTTTTCACATTAATAATATATAAAACTGTACCTATTCTCTGACTCCATCACTGTCATCTTCATGAAAATACTATTTTATGTGTACGTGCCATCTCTCATATAAGTATCTCACAGCTTGTTTAAAAACATGGGTAAGTATTATTGTCCTCTTTTTTTTTTTTTTAATGGAGACAGTAGTATTGCAAGATAAAGCACAAAAAGATTTCTGTAGGTACTCAGCGAATGGGGTAACACAGTTAACAACTCACCCCTCCTGACTCCTGCTTATAGCTATTTTTCATTGATATGACCCATAGAAGATCCCAGCTGTGATGTTGCTCACTTGTACCAGATAATGTTGTAATATCAGAAACAAACTGTGAGTAGAGCTGGACCAATATTAGATCTTTCACTTTAGTGGCCAAGCTGAATAATTATGTAAAATACAATTTTGGATTAACACAAAATAGAAATGTTTCATTTTGACTAGTAAAATAAAATTGGGGCGGGGGGGAGGAGGGTATCCTGTTTTCTTCTAAAGAAAATGTTTGGATTCTGTTAAAAGAAAGTTTTGACCTAAAATGAAATTTCTCGTTCATGTTGGGTGACTTTTTTAATCCTGTATCATAACACTTTTTATTGTAAATTCAATCAAAATTCCAAATACAACGTAAGATTTTTATCAAGTTCCTTTGCTGTATTTAACCCAATTTCTTGCATAGGGTCTAAATTTTTTTTTTTAAATAATATATTTCCCAGAAATTTTTACCCAGATCTGCTTGAGAGTTCCTGCTCTAAATAGATAAGACAGCCAGTGCTTCAGGGAGCGGAAATATTCTTGTCCCCATTTTGCAGTGGGGGATTTGAGAAACGCTGAATTTAAACAACGCGCCTGAGATGGCGGCGTCAGATATTTCAGGCAAATGACAGAGCCCCTGAAAGGCTTTCAAAAGCCTCTTGTGTCATCTTGAGCTCAGAAGGTGGGACCCACATCATGTGGTGGGCACATGCTAGTCCCAGGATGAAGCCAGTGGAAGAGCCCTCTCACGTGTGTGTCTGTGTCATCGTGTGACCAGACCCTGGTGACAGAGGGGCTTCTGCTCACCTCAGAGAAGCTGTGGCAGCAGGGAGCAGAGCATGGTCCTGACTGACAAGATGCAGGTATTACCCATCAGCTGTGAGTGAGGAGCCTGAGAGACAGGAACCCAGCACAGGTCATGAAATTCATCCTTCAGCATTTCAGGAGCTAGGTCCCACTTCTGGTCTCCCCTCCCATCTGAAGCTATGAGCCTCCAGGATGTACAAAGCCTTAGAAATCATGACTGGTTCCAGCATTCCAAGCTTCTTCCTACCATTAATATTCAGTAGCTGTTCACTTTCTACAGTTTGCTTCTCTTGTTTCAAAAAGTAAGTTTCACATGTTAACTTTCTGTTGTTGTTGATGGGTCAGCTGTTAGCTCACTGCAGCATAGGCAGAGCTGTCGCTCGAGGAGGGGGCACCATATGGAGTGCATGGCAATGTCTGTCGTGGGCACTTTATCTGGGGTATGGGTTAGCGGAATAAAACCTCAGCTACTTCCTTTGGGGCAATTGATCAATTTGTTTTCCTCATCTTTGCTCTTGTTGACAACAAGCTTGATGAAATCAGTCTTTCTGAAGGCAGCACAGTGGATTTGACAAATCCTGCAGAACTGCTGGAACAGATCCCTGAGTTTGCTGAAGAGCTGATGGAGCCTGAAGATTGCTTCCCCGAAGGTAAGGGCCTGCATATTTCACTGCAATGCTGGGGCGAGAAACCTCCTCTCAGTGAACATCTCTCCACCTTCACACCACGTTGCTCTGGCTGCTTGCACTAGTCTTTCACTGGATGCATTTCAGTTCTTACATACTGTAATGCTCCAAACACATTCAGAATCACTTGCTAACATTAGTCTTTGGATTTCCAAGGTTAGATAAGCCAAAACCAAGCTCTAATTGGATATGCAGCTTCTAACATGTTAGGCTTTTTTTATCATGACTTTTGCCATACAGGAGTTTTTTTAATATATTGATTTTTCTACTTGGCCAATGAAGATTTTGGCCTTCCAATATGTGTGCATGCTCAAATTTTGTAGCAAACTAACCAGAGCACAATGCTTCAGTTGCTTAAAAGTATATAGGCATTTAACAGAAACTGTCTGGAGAGTTTGTGAGTCCAAGGATTCTCTGCCATTTAAATTGAAGATGTTGATTAGCATGTCCAGTAACTTTCATCTGATCATGGATGTGCTATGTATAAGGTATTTTATTTAATTATTTTAGATAACAACAACTCACATTACATAACTGCTTTTCATACCTGAATAAGCCAGGATTTTATTACTTTTTAACACCAGCCTGCTCCAAAACAGCTAAATCAGGTCTACTTTAAAATAATTGTATAAGGTAAATAACACCCTAAATGATTTCTTCTCAGACTGCCTTCTATTCCAGATATTACATCTGTCAGATTCCTCATTTTTCTTTAAATCTGGGTTAGGAAAAATAGGGTTAGCTGAATGTTAGTATATTTCCTTGAAAATTCAAGGATTATTATAAATAAAAACAGAGTTGCTTGGATGGGATCAGACAGAAGTGATTTGCTGGGTATATGAATGCCCCTGAAGTCAGCAAAAATGTGCATCTATATATGTGTGAGAAAGATGATTGAATGAGGTAACGAAGCCCTGCAGGGCTTACAAATGTCCCTAGGATCTAAACATTTTTTTGGCAGCTCTGCTTAAAAGCAGTAGCCGAAAACTAATGCAGTTGATGGAAGAAAGTGTGCTACTATGCTGTAACTATTCTGGCCCATACAATAACATTTAGAAATTAGATCTGGTGCTTTCATTCTTTCACAATATATTTCTTAATGAGGCTAGTGAGCAGCAATCTAAGTTGTGCATTGCAGAGAGAGAATTTATATTATAATTGCTTAAACAAACCAGTGCCACAAGACCGGTGCTAGTCAGATAAAAATCCTGCAACTGTGCTTGGGCACGGCTGCCTTCCAGTTTTTAAAAGAAATGAGATGGACATCACACAGCCCATCACTTCATTCAGTGCCCAGCCCTGATTCATTCCCAGAGCAGTAGCACTCTGTAATTTGCTCTATCTTAAAATAACCAGAACTGCCCGAAACTCTATCGTTCGGGGCCACGTCAGTACCAACCCGGTTTGCCAGACCTTCGCTGCTGTTGATGGGGTGCAGGGTAGAAGTGGCAAGTGGTGCTCTTCTGGATGAATGATTGGAAGCGTTAAGCCAGTTTTGAAGCCCACTCATCATCCTAACAGCAGTGAAATGGAGAAATTAAGGTGTTGGGTGCTGAACCCTGAGCTTGCCCTGGCTTCCATCCAGCCTGCTGGCTCCTGCTCCCTATCCCGCTCCTTCCTTTTGCCTTCTATTCCTCAGCTTTCCTAGTTCCTCACCAGTCCCTGTTCAAGTCAGGGTGTTTCTCTCTTCTCCCACCTGAGCCTTGAGGTCTGACCGGGATTTGAAGGAGAACCTGCTCCCAGCCCTTGGGCCAGTGCACAGTGGCTGAGGGCACTGGACGTGCAGTAGCAAGTGAAGGCCTCCCCAGTGCATCTGCCCTGCTTGCCTGTGTAGCACAGACCTATGCAGATTTCACAGAGGCTAAATGTGACCACATTCCTCATGGATGTGGCAAAAATGCATAAACTTGACACAGGAAAGTTCCCTCACCAAATTTCAAGTCCAAGTGCCATAAATGCAATGTCCAAATTATTCTTGCTGCAATGACATTAACATTTGGTTTTATTTATGCTATTTAAAACAAAGTGCTTTCCTATAATCTTCTATGAAAAGACTTCCAATATTTTTACCCAAACATACCATTGCAATTAAACCTCATGAAGGTATTGTTTCAGTCTAGTAAGAAACAAGCAAGCAAGCAAACAGTCTAGTTAACTAAGATATGACAAGGTTATAAAGCACCAAAATGGACTTATTGATGGGCAAGCACTGGGTAAGTTTATCTAGAGTTGCTTTTACTGGCTTGTAATAAAGAGATACAGCAATATTTGGTATATCCAGGAGAATTACCAGTTAATACTTGTGAAAGAAGGAGATGGGGTGAGATAAAGAGGAAAGGCAGAGGGAAGGGTTAAGTTCTTACCTTGTTAGCTCACCAGATATCTAAATTCAAACTATGACATTTCTAAATACATCTAGCATAGGTTATGTCCTGAACAAATATGTTCCAGATTCAGACCCCTTTTTCAGATAACAAAGGCAACGAAGATAGTGCATGTTCTTGAAATAGTTGCTGAAAGTTTGCTGAGGTCACAGTTTTCGCGGAGTTGGTTGACCCAGATTAGCCATAGGTTGTTTTTCTTGGGTAGACTTGTTAATTCATTATCATCTCAAAATAGCTTTGATTAGGGTCAACAGGGAATATTCTTAGGTCAGGAAATGTGAAGCCAAGGTAGGGTCACAGCTCTGGCAGCTAGCAAGTATTGCTGGGAAAAAACTGATAGAAATACAGAGATCACTCTTGTTGCCAGTTGATGGGAAAGCAACATCTAGGCAATGCCAGCTATTTGGGTATTTTTTCCTCCAGATGCCTTGCAACACTCCAGTCCTGTTACCTTCATTGGAATGCGTTCTCTGCATCAAAAATTGCTATCTGTTTGGACATTCTCTTCTCTGTCACAGAAGGGCATCCAAAGAGAGCCCCCTGGCCTCAGCATGCTCCTCTCTCCCACACCCTAATAGGAGAAAGTTTTCGCCGAGTCGTCAAGCGTAATTCCCCGGACAGAGCCTGCTGGCAAAGGTTTCAAATTAGTATCGTCAGATGGTTGTGCGAAAATGAGCTACTTTGCTCAATGCGCAGTTGATCACAACTCGTGACACCAAGGACGCCCACAAACAGTTTTTCATGTGACCATGAAGGAGCAATTATCGCAGTTGAAAAATGCCATGCACTAAAGTGAAGTTACTCTGATTAACGGTGGGATCTGCGTCATGCCCTTCCCAACCACAGTTAGCGGTTGTTTAGAAATAAAAAAGCCAAGAGGATCTCGGACTGTTAAACTGAACAAATCTAAACTGAGCTATAGGGACTGCCACCAAATGATGTTCAAAAGATGAGTAAAACCAAACCAAGCCCATTGAAACATGTGAACTGTCATCCCAGGGAAAAAAAAAATCACAGAACAAAACCAAGTTCTAAGGTATCTTTTTCCTCTAGCCATAATATCTACCATACCGCATATTTTTCCATAAGAAAGGGCAAGATAGTATTTTTTTGTATGCAGTTTTCAGTCCTATTGCATGAACAAAATGAAATTAATTCCAATTGGACAGGACCACTATATTTCAACTTGTCTACCCCTTCACTCAAAACAGAGCTGACGTTGTTAGTGGATCATGCTGCCCACTGCCTTTGCTTCAAGGGATCACACTGTTAGTCGTACTGACCTCCAAGAGAATGTGTTTTAGGACAGTAGCAGCAAATGAACAAGAAATGTACCCTTGTAAAGCCCTTGGAAGCGTGAAATCACCTGTCAAGCTGTGGCTTTGTCAGATGCTCTCTTGGCAGCACCTGGTTGCTGACACAAGAAAAGACTCAAATCAACATGTGTGTCTCAGGTATCTGAATGCTGGAGACCGTGATGGCAAATCTCCTCTGTGTTAGTCCTAGAGCCGCGCAGTATAAAACCCAGCTGTGCACGTCACTGGGGCCAGAAGATGAGGAAGGGGTTAAATAAGGATGGTCTTCAGAAATCATGTTCCCTCCTTTGGGGGGGCGTGCACGACAGACACAGCGATGTCTTATGAAGGGACTAGAGCAAGACTTGCTTTCTTGGTTGAGCGTGCACAGCTAGCCAGATTGGTCATTAGAAACCCAGCTTGTCAGAGATTAGATGGATAGATAGATAGATAGATGATAGATTTAAACCATGTTATGAACACCTGCCTGCTTGAGTTTACGCTGAGGAAGCAGTATTTTCCTTGTGTCAAACCAAGCAATGCTGTAACCAGCATTCAGAGCTAAGCAACTTCTTGTTTTGCTCTAAAAATGAATGTCCCAATAATTGGGAACTCCTGTGTAGAAGTAGATACAAAATTAATGCAGTTTGGACACAAGGTACCAGACATAGTGGACCACAGTAGAGAAATTAATTGTTTTTCCTGGTTTGCTGAAGAGAATCATCAGTACAATCCAGGCAAAACATATCTAATAATTTTATGTAAATTTAAGTGTATATGTTGTGAACAAGCAGTGCATTTGTAAAGTCTTTACTCATAAGTCTGAATACAACAGGCTTGGCTGTCATGCATGCAGAAGGAAGTTTTTGCAGCACAGCTCCCACACCTACAAATAGACTTTTTTTCCCAATGCACCAAGGTAATGCAATCAGGTTTAACTGCTCCATGATTATAACTCACCAGGATAGAAAATGTGGAACCAAAGGAATAGTTACACAAAATGCATTGTAAATTAAATTCCTTCTGCCTTTAGTCTTTTTTTTTTTTTTTCCTCCTGGTAACTTGGTTACCATCATGGCAGATGTTTTAGTAAGAGCTTTCTCTGTCACAGCTGCAGTGGAGACTGTGGCTTATTCTGCAGTTAGTAATTGTGACTGAAGGGAAGAATTCCCTTGTTATGAAAAATAAACAAAACCTAAATAATATCATGGTATACCAATGCATTTGGAAAGACTTCTTGGTAAATAGCTCTCTGTTTCATTAGAGATGAATTCAAAACAGATATTGTTCTTGGATAAGTTGACCACTAATGTTGTTCAGTACATCTTCACTGATTTACCAGCACATAACCCTCCGGGGAGACTTTTTCTGCTGTTCTGTGTTTTTGTTGAGCAATAACCTACTACCCAAAAGTCAGTGGTGGAAATGAGTCGGTTTGCTCTCAAAAAAAATGTCGCCCAACATGAATAAGGGTGGCCAAACTAAGTCCTGACTAAATCACAAGGTGGTTAGCTTCTTCTGCACAACCTGTTGCCTACTAGCATTGATTTCAGGAGAGATAGACAAACCTCTTAGACAAGGCAGTGTGAGTAATGTCGTTATAAGACACTCCAAAGAGTTTATTCCTGTCTTGACACTTGCTGTGCTAAAAGGTGTTCATGAATAGTCTTCTGCTTGTGGATAAAGTAAATAGCTTGTGAAGCTGAGCTCTGCTGACCACTTGCCTTGTAGAAGTCAGCTGGAGTTATGGTTGCTCAGACCTTCATCAGGTCATCACTGGAATATTTTTGGTATTTTGATGTCAGAGAATTGAGGGTGGGAAACCTGTTGGAATTCTGAACAAGGTCAGGTAAACTTTTTTGTTGTATTATTTGAAGTTTCTAATTCAGCATTTAAGCTTGGTTCAGGGTTACCAGAACACTAGACTACCAGCATTACGAGACAACAGTAAAGCGCAGGCATGAAATAGCAGTCAGTGAGGGAAACCAGCAAATTTGAAATGGAAATAGAACTTCACTAATTCATTAAAAGACCTGTTTGTGGTCACTTTTCTTTTTTTTCTTTCAGTTTTATTTTTTTCTGTTTGATTTATGAATAGTTAAAAATAGCATTTCATCTGAATAGCAGCCTGCATGATTATTCATGGAAGTGCTATTTGACATGAGTAATTGTATCAGAATCTGGTCTAAACATTTCTGAATTGGGCCCAATCAAAAGCATGGGATTTAATAGCGCTGTGATTTTGGACTGACTCATCTGAGAAGCTATTTTGGATTTGTCAAGGTATTACTGCCAGTAACTGGGACTTTTTTTTCAGATCAGAATTGCATGAAAGCCATCGAAGAGCACACAAAAAATATATTATTAGTGGTGCTACCTTGCTTTTTGATTTTAAAAATACCTCTCTGTACCTGTAGATTATCAGATGGAAGCTGACTATATCAGCAATAGCTTGTTTTTAACATTTTGTAAGTATTTTCCATCACCAGCAGCCTTAGATCTCACAGTGCCCTGCTCATTAGTATTTAATTTGACGGTGATCCCCAGCTTTAGCCATGCCTGAGCTCAGGTAATCATGTAGGCTCTTTGTGCAGTGGAAAGACAGAAGCAGACTCCTCCAGGGAATGATTCATCCAACTATCGTATGGTGGAGAAAACCACTTCCTGGAAGATCCTAACCTTTTCCAATGGTACTTACAGCACATTTCTACTCTTCTAGAGCATGACAGAACATGTCATGCTTGTTAGTAGCTGAGCCTAGTAATAGACATGGCATTCATAAAACAGACTAAAAAGCCAAGTGTCCATCTATGTAGTAATTTAAGACAAAATAAGGGAGAACAAATGTTTCTGGACAAATGTTTTAAGACTGAAAAAATGCTGATTTTTTTTCTACATTGAAACTATTTATAGGAACAAGGTAGGCTCATGGAAAATATATTCTGCTAGAAGCAGTGGTTATCTCCAGTAAAAAGTGGTTTTCTGCTTAAAATAAGAAATTCACACTTATGGACTGTAGTGGACTGTCTGCTCATTGGGGTGTTCACTTGACAAATGGTGGATCTGAGCCCTGATCCAAATCTGAGTTGATAATGAGGTGGCCAGTGTACATGTATAACAGCACCGAGTGTGGACCAGACACCTGAAAGCTGGTAATGACCATACGGGTTGTAGGGCGAGAAGCAGTGTAAGAGTTTTCTGGCAGCACTGTTAAGAGGTGTGACTAAATAGGCCCCTCTGTCATGTCACGCTGCATGGGCATGTCTAAGCAGAGTTGCTATATGACTGTTAGCTCAGGAATCGTGGGATCATTTAGGTTGGAGAAGACCTTTAAGATCCTGGTACCATGCAGTATTGCATGCCTGCAATCTGTTCCATGTACCTACTTCTTAAATATACCCAAATCAGAATCATTGCCATCTCTGAGCACTGTACCAGTGATATTCTTTTCTCCCTTGACATGATACTTTGGTGTTTACAACTGAAGTGCTTAGAGGGATAAAACTGTCCTTTGCTGGAGTGGTACCCCACCTGCAAAGAGGCAGAGAGCTAGTTCTTACACTTGTGCCTTTTCCTAGCGTTATGATTTTTCTCAAACAGTTTGATTAGAGTATTTCAACTGAGCCCAAATTCCTCTGAATTCCAGAAAACAGCACTAAACTGGTAACTGGTGTGAGTCTGTGTGATGGAGGCCTTCAGAGGACAAGTAGTTGCTTGCATCACCATCCCATTACCTTTGTGTTAATGGTTTACTGTCCTGTCAGTCCCATACCAAAACCTCATACAGCCAAGAGCCTACACCTACCAAACGTCCCAGAAATGTGAGGGAACCAAGAGTGGTTCCTGTATGACATCCTACAGTTCAGTTGCTCCATAGCAGGGATCTGGGCTAATAAAAACTTACAGAAAATGCCAGGAGGACCACAGCAGACTTAGCAGCTCTCTTCCTCCTGGCAGAGACTGCTGCCAGCACAGCCCCACTTTCAGCTGCTTGGGAATCCCAGCATCCCGGGAGTTGCACTTGATCTCCTCACATATCACATGCAGCTCAAGCGCCTCAGTTATGCCACCTTGAATTAACAGCATCTGCTGTCTGTGTAACCTTGGCACTCACCCTCTTTCCTTCCCCTTCCTTGCCTAAATATTATTCCTACTTGCAATAACATTGCATTACCTCACCATAGCGAGATGTCCTCTCTCGTCACTTGAGCAGTTGTTGTATGCTTCAAGACACATTAGTGATGTTGGCCACCTTTCAGCTATGGAAGCAGTTGGCCTGTGGGTTTTTTTTCTCGTGATGGGACTGATAGAGCTCCATAGCTAAGTCTCTTTCTTTATGACATGGATTAAATATAGGGAAAAAAGCTTGCTTTTTAGAAATAAAGTATTTTCTGAAGGTCATTCTTATCAGCAAATGTTGTGAAATTTGGGTCGAATTATCTGACATAAGGCTGAATGACCAGCCTCGAAAAGGAAAAGTCCTGGCTACCCTCTCACACAATATTAAGTTCTTACCCAGCATAAGGCAATTCACATGGTGCTTTTTAAATGGGAAAGATGGATCTGTCCATTACCAATGACAACATCCTTTTGCTGTAACAAATGAATGTTCCTAAGAAAACTAAAAATGGCCATGGCCTTGCCTATCAGTGATACATCTGTGGTCCCCATTACCACCACAACATTCAACTGTCGCATGGTACTTGTCACTAAGGTGCTGTGAAGCACCAGTGGGGAGCCCATTGTGGACCAGACTGGGTATCTAAATTTCTGCTGACATCAAAGGGGATTTAACCACCTAAATACCTTCCCAGTGTTGATCTATTGCCTTACTTAAGCTCACAAGAGTGCAGGAGATCAAAATCTGCTCCTGTTTTTCCTGTCTCTGCCTTTTCAGCACATTGGTCCCATCTGCCCTCCAGCACCTCCTCTCTTCATCTCCCTTTCATAAAGTTGACACTTTTAATCAGTAATTCTAGTGGTGTCATAGTACCAAGAAAATATCCTTCCTCCATTCAAAGGGTGTGGAAACTCTTGGTAATTCCCTGCTAGAGTCATTAACCTGCTAACTCAGTGTGATGGACCTAGGGCACTGATGACTCATGGTCAAAATATATCTGTATCATAAAAATCATTGGGGGAAATCACTGAGGTACGTTTTAAGTGATTTTGAATGTTTTTGAATAGAGGGGTGAGAAGGGGAAACAATGCAGAGCAGAAGAGTTTGGTGAGAAAAACGAGGAAGGAAAGACTCCATGCAGCAGCTTATTGCTAGAAGAAATCTTAGTCAACAGCTCCTTGCAGCTTTAAAAATTAAATGGTCTTTTTTTAACAATGTCTTTGGTTTTGTTTTGCTCCTTTGCAGTTTGTGTGCGATTCTTCCCATGCTGTTCCGTGGACATCACAAAATTTCCAGGCAAAATTTGGTGGAGGCTGAGGAAAACCTGCTACAGAATCGTCGAACACAACTGGTTTGAAACTTTCATCATATTCATGATCCTGCTGAGCAGCGGAGCCTTGGTAAATAACAGGTTTTCCTAGCTGGATGGAAGTGGACATGGGTCTCGGAGAAGGTGCTCTCCAGTCAGCTGTCTCTAAGGTTTTAGGAGCCCTTACTGCTCATTTCTCAAAGCAAAGCATGTTTGGGGGTAGAACAGGTCTTCTATTTTTTCTGATTTCATCTCCCTTTACCATACAGTGGGGAAAGTCTTTCTGTTATAAAATTATGGTGAATACATGTTTTGAGAAGCAAATCCTTAAGGAAGTCTGTGTGATGAACTAGCCCCAAATTCCTACTTCATCATCCCGTAACTGCTCCATGGTTGTTCCCATCTGGAGGCCCGTAGTTTGCTCCAGGGGTAGCTTTTTTTCCTCTTTGTTTTTTAGCACATTTTGTAACCAGCAAAACAATATCATAAAATTGCAGGGGGCACTGAATCAGTGCCCAGAGAGTTACCGGGTGTCTATCATGTTTTGAATACACCTTAGCTGAAAAAACACTACCTTCCCTGCACAGACAGCTCCTGTTTGCATCTGTATTAATCTGTATGGATGGAGGCTGGTTGGGCATTTTCCAGAACCCTGATAAGGGATCCTCTCCTCCTGAGAGCCACTTCTAACTGGAATTATCTCCTTGTAGCAATTGCAGCATATATTTATGTTGCTCACATGTCAGGAATGTCACTGAAGATGGTGGGATTTCTCCCAGGCTTTTAAGAGTTCTCCAGGCTTTGGTCTGGTGGTCACTGACCTTCTCCATGGAAAAGTAAGAAATACACCTACTAAATTTGCAGGCAGTGCCATGTTTGGATAGGTTATCTATATATTTCTGGTGGTCAGGATTACCTTCAGCCAAATGGAGGAATCTGCCTTAAACAGTAAGAGGAATATCATCTGAGAAAGAAGATCTGCTTCACCTCATCAGGAATAATCACAGGCACAAAGGCATGATGCAGGATGGCTGGTAAGGTAGCAGCTTTACTAAAAAAGACCTGGAGAGAGAACAGGGAGCCAACAGGATAGACTAAACTGCATCACAGCATTGCACAAAAGCCGAACACCCCACTGGGCTGTATAAATAAGCATGTTCTTCCACTCCAGTTGGCATCAAGGAAGCCTCAGCTGGAGTACTGGCTTCAGCTCTGGGCACTGCACTTTGGGAAAGACATGGGCTAATTGAAGAAACTCCAGAGGAGAGCAACACAGATTATCAGTGGCCTAAAAACAGAGGAAAATGCAGAAATACTGGGTTTATGTAGTTTAAAGAAAGCCTCTGCAGAGAGACAAGAAGGTGGAAATACATAAAAGTGGATGCAAAAAGAAAGGAATGGACTGTTCCAGGTCCACCAGGATGGGCTGAAACTTCATCCAGGGGATTTTATTTTATTATGAAAAGTAACAGGCTGAAAAACTTCAGTAAATAGGAGGCTGCTGAAAACTGTCATAGCTTTGCTGAAATCAATGGAGTCTGTCAGTTTTTGCACCAGCCTGAGAATCAGCATGTTAATTTTTTAACACATTTTAAAGGGGGCATGTTGCTTGCTATAATACACTTTAAATGAATACACTTCCTTACATATGTAATTAAAAGTGCCTGAGATACTGAACACTGCAATGTAAATCTCATTTAATTTTCATTGCATGCATTAATTTACTTTTTGCGAGTTTCAATTTAGCCAGTGCAATTCTGTATAAGGTCAAATTATGCTGCATTTTCTCACATCTCAGCACTGTGCTTCAGTATTTGGACTGGAGATGTTGGAGGGAACACACCATTTTTTTCTTCTGTTATACTGGGGTGAGCTTTTCCAAAAACTGAGCTTGTCTGGCTACATCCCTGGGACATGCTAAGTTCTTAAGGGAGTTTTAAACCCAGTATATATTTGTGTGTGGAAATTAAACCACCAGAATATATTTACAGCTTACTGCGAATGATCCAAACCCTTTCTTACATGTTTAAGCCATGAGCACCCAAACTAGTGTCTGTGTTTTAACAGTAATTGTGGATAGCACTGCAGGTATCCTGTTTGACTCTTTTTTTAACATGCAAAGCAGAAGAAATAACCTTTAATGAAGTTTTATATTGCAAAGATTTCATCTGTTGTCACCGTGAAAAAATGCAAAGCATAGGAGTTTTGTCATTTGGGTAATATCCATAGCTCATAGAGAAGTAGAGTGCACCAGAGGCATTCAGGTAGAATATTTTTTATCCCTTATTAAGCTGCTTCTTGACTCCTGACAGTGTGCTTTTAGCAGACAAAGCACAATGTACTTTTCGACAAGTAGAAAACAGGGAGAGCAAAGGAGGGAGAGAAGGAAATCCCTTTAAATAGTTCGGGGGTTTTTTGCAGTAATTGCGAAGTACAGCAAGTCATCTGACACAATGAGTGATCCCCTACAAGAAGAGATAAACTCCAACCTCTCTGCGTATTGTTTTCTGTGTCTTTCTCCAACAGCTCTTTCACACCCTTGAAATATCATTTTTGAAAGCAAGATAGGAGACTGAGTAACAGTGAAAACGTCACCCCAAAGTGTTGGGACACATGGACAAGCTTTGGGACAGGCTGCCAAAGCTTTCTTGTCAGTTTAATTACTGTTTCCTGGCAGGCAAAAGAGCAGTGTGACTGCTTGAGTGACAAGCAACACACTTGTATCTCCAGGCACCGGCTGTTTGCTAACTTTTTGAGGTTCCTTCGAAAGTAGCTACAGATCTTGAAATATATAAATGCATATAATTAAGATGATTAGCACAGACCCTCTCACACAATGTTGTTTCTTGCTACCACATGCTCTGGGTCACAGGGTGGGATCAGAGTAAAATATCAAAGCTCGGGTTATCCAGGTTATAGGGACATGGGAGCAGTTTGTGTAATGACAGTCACTAGAGTAGCTGGGGGAGAAAATCGTAACGACTGTTCAACTTAGAAGCCCCAAAATGGGCTGTATAAATGCAACACTGACACTAGGATCCTGCGTTTTATTCGACGTACATTATAAAGTGCAAGCTAAATTATGAGACAACTTTATTTATTTTATTTTAGTAGGCATGTTTCTTAAGACCTTAAATACTTTAAAGGAGTTATGAAGTTGCTTTTATTTGATACAGATACTGAAAATCCTTGTCTGATGCCCTGCATGGGATTAGATAGACAGATGAGATGGGTAGATAGATATACATTGACCTTTAAAACATAATTGTTCTGTTAAGTGAATAATAATGAGTATTTCTTGAGGCAGATATCCCTAGATACCTGAAATGTGATGGCTGAACAGAAACCAGGGAACTCCAGTACTCTACACAGGCAGGTTAATAACACAATTTGTCATCATTATCAATAAGATGTATTTGATTAAATGTAAAGGTCAGATTCTGCCTCCTAAAGACAGCCATCCTATGCCCTGGGACATCTGAGGTGCCCCAATAGCAGTGGCACAGCCAACTGGAGCTGAAGCAGGATGCCCTCGATCAGCTTGGGGTGGCACCCTGCACTGAGAATCACACTCCCAAACTTGGGGTGCTTAAGCTCATCTTACACTCAAAGGATGTGTAGTCAGTACAGCCAGTAGAGGCTGGAGAGAGATAGCTAAGCATGTGTCTATTGTCAGGGAATGCTGAACAGCCTTCTCTTAAGTTAGGTTCAGTCCTGTTCATGTCTGTACCCTCTTTCTGATGGCAACATAAAAATATATTAGAAATCACAGACAGTATATGATATCCCATCAAATAATACTACAGACATGCAATACAGCACTGATGTTTTGCAACACAGTTTAGCAGAAGTTTTTAATCGATTTTTTATACTTCCAGGCTTTTGAAGATATTTATCTCGAAGATCGAAAAAACATAAAAACCATGCTGGAATATGCTGACAAAATATTCACTTACATCTTTGTCTTGGAAATGCTCCTGAAATGGGTGGCTTATGGCTTCAAGAAGTATTTCACCAATGCCTGGTGCTGGCTTGACTTCCTTATTGTAGATGTAAGTATCATTTTGGAACTACGATGCTTCTAGTGTAGGATTTTATAATGCGTAAGAACGGGCTGTTAAGTCTGGCAGCTTTTCGTTTGCAAAATGACAGCTGTCACTGATTCTGACTAACAACCTCAGGCAAAGCTTGAAGGAGGTCTTGATATGTAACTGTGCATCCCCAGGAACCAGCATGCCAGAGCAGAGAAGACCATTTTGTGCTGTTACGTAGAGGTGTCACCCTGCTAATTTGAGTCACATTCCCTTCTCGTCCCTAGGAACTCGTTCCTTCCTTTAGCATTTAACATCTCGTTCCACACTCCCAGCGAGCACAAGGTCCGGTTACCTCCGAGTGCTCCACGCATGACCTCGGCACGCAAGCCTTTCAGCAGATTAGAGAAGCTGTCCTTGGCGTAGTTTCCCAACGAGGCTGCCAGCTGTGTGTAACAGTATGTTCAGTACCATGTCCCAGCTATTTACCAGTGAAGGAGTCCAGAAGAAGGTGTGAACAATCCTCTTGTCAAAGTGATTTCTCTATTAGAAAACCTTACAAAATACTCCAAGTCCTTGAAATATTCCAATGCTTAGTTCTCCTATGAATACAATCCTTAAAAACAAGCGATGGTTGAACAAAAGGGAGCTCATGCTCCAAGAGTGTTGGTACTGCCAGGCATGTCCCCTCCAAAGTTTCACATTGCCTGGATGAGAGATTTGCTAAATTCAGGAAAAGCCAGCAACACCACATCCTCCAGAATAACATTTTGTTTCAGCGTATCAATAAGAGGCAATTCTCTCCCTGAGGTCATTTCTTATTAGCTTGAGGTATTAATGTGGAAGGCTGGCAGAGCTCTGCCATGACTGTGTAACTTATTAAACTTCCAATAAATTATTTTTCCCCATTTTACATCTGAACCTTGACTCAGGGGAGAACTGCACTTTTTTTGGTCCCAGTCCAGGAAAGCACTTCAATGGGACGATATACTTGTTTGAAGTTATGGACACATCTAAGTGCACTGCTGGATCAGAGCCTTTGGACGCTTCTCCAGAGCTTTAACAAATTGATTTACGAAAAGGAAGTTCTTTACATAAATTGTAGGTCATAAATTCCTCTTTGCATACATGCTTGGAAACCTCTTAAAGGGAAGACTCTCATTTTTCACAGATTAGCTTCAATAGAAGAGGAAGGCCTGGTTTAATTATCTAACCACAAAATTGGAAACCACCAGTTCCTAAGTTATAGCCCAACCCTGAAATCTGTGCTCACTGTGGGTTAGATCGAGTGACACAGCTTTTCTTTCCTGGTTTCTCTGTCTGTAAAATGGGCCTAATAAGATTCACCAAGTGCTGTATAGGCAAAAAACAGGAGTTTGTTGCTGGTTTTATGAACTTCTGAAGACTAGAAGGGCTGGATGGGGGCTGAATGTTGACGCAACTATAAGGAGGGGTCTTCCTGATGGGAACAACAGTTGGCACGATGAATTCACTGAAGCAGTTTGGAGCTCTGCTGCATCATTAACAGTTTGAAATGAGTTCCCACTTGTTAGAAATACATACTTTATGGCATGATATCTAATTAATATCAAAGAGCAGAAACTCAGCTAAATCCTTTTCCCCCTGAAAAAAATCCCCCTTGGAACAGGAGCTACCGAATAATGTAAAGTCAGTATGTAACCCCAAAATTTAGGTACCTGTTTGCTTTTTATGGTGAGGTTTGTGAGTATAATGACAGATTGCCAAGACAGCCAGACCTGGGCTGGGGAAGGGGCCTTCCTCACCTCCCCAGCCACACATCCAGATCACATACAGCATCAACTAGTGCTATGGGGGACAGGGGACCATGGAACTACCCTTATCCACAGAAGATCCACCCCAGACCTTTCTTACTGATCCAGAGTATTTTATTTTCTTAACTCCCATTTAAACATCATTTTTGCAGGATCCCAGCCTAGCCAAAAAGTTGCTTCAACCTTGAGTTGGTTTTGGTTATTGATTGACTGTAGGAAATCTCTTGCCCTTTAGTGTTCTCAGTGAATAAAGCTTTCCCCCGTGCCCCATTCTTCTCTTCAAAGTCATTTCCCGATGAGGATTATGAGAACCTGGTACTATATTTTTAGCGGGTTTAACAGATGCTCTTCTCCTACCTTCTCTGAATTGGCAGAGTAACATGCTATCATTTTTCCAGCACAGTTTTTACTTCAATTTACATTTTCTTTTTGGTCCTTTGAGAACCAAATCACTGCAACTGAGCTGCAGAAGGGAGTGAATGAGTGAATTAGTTGCTCCAAAAGAAGCAGATGAACCACTTGTCTGATTTTCTCAAAATTATTTTTTAAAAATTATTCACTTAAAAATTCCTGATCTGCAAATTATTCATTAGCAGTTTGGTATTGGTATTCAAAATTCAAGCTGCAATGGTTGATTTTTCATTGGACATGTGAAACCATCTATCATCTGTGTTTTCTCATTGTACAAATGCAACTCAGAATCCTTTTTCTGTTGTGAATAATTCATAAAACCGGCTCAAAATTTGCAAGTATTCACTATTTCTAAATAGGAAGTGAACCCAGAGAGGGTATAAGCATATTGCTGCTGATTTTTCTATTTTGTTTGGGGTTTTTTTAAGATTTTGGTGTGGTTTTTTGTACTTATCTTTCCTTGTGAAAGACCTTTGACAGCAATTTGGGCCTATGGAACAGCAAAGGCTCCATTTCATGATTGTGGATTACTAAGAAAATTCTGTCTTGCAAAGCCTGAACATGAAACCACACAATAATCCACAAACTGACAACTGTTTTTGCTGGATGTAGAATCCCTAAAGAATGATCTCTCATAATGGGCTTCTCTGCATCTTGAAGTGTGCTAGCATAGCAAAACCATGAGTGCTTTTAAATACATTGCAATACAGTAACGTCCTATCAACAATGCTGTAACAGATTTCTTCGGGAGGAAGGGAGAAAGGAGTGATCAGACCACAAAATACAGGCTCATTTAAACTTAGGGAACTTGACAAAGATGAACAAAAAACATTAATGTAAATCTATACATGTTACATCCATGCAAATGACAAGTACACTGCTAAAAGTAACTCCCTTCTACATTGCAAATATAGCTTCTCTATGCTTGTGAATTGTGGTGGGCGCTCAGTCCACAGCTATTTTCAAATGAGGAAAAAGCAGAGACTGTAGCGTATCTGGAGTGTGGACAGACATCAATATCACCATCAGCAACAGTGTTTATGCACAATTCTCTTTGCTAGGATGCACAGGCAAATATTTTCACAAAGAATAAAAATTTTCCAAGCATTCATGCAATCAAAAACCTCTTTGTACAAAGCAGATTAAACAAGGAGTCTGAACTTGGCCAGAGACAGAGGCGCATGGCATTCCAAATGAATGTTTATGAAAAGTGCTTTCAACCAGGCGCATCCTGCAACAGGCAGAGACAGTTGGGTTTTATAACAAGGAGAAGATAAACTCCACCGGTGGTGCATGGTGGTGTCATGTTTGATGTTCCTTTCAATTGTTTCCTCTGACCTATAAATATTATCTTGAGCTTATCTAGTTTGAGCTTCAGCCAATTAATTCTGAGCTATGTCCCAGTCTCTGCTGACAAGGGGTGGATTATTCCACTGCAGTGGTCAGTTCAGGAAAGGCATCAGTCTGAAGTTTAGCATCATTCTAAGACAGGAGGTGTTACAGTCAACAGTTTCTTTGCTCACTGACCATACATTGAAGGCAGAGGGGAGAGTGGTATCCTACAGAAGCTGTTACAAGAAACCTCTTGGGAAAGGGCTGCCAAGTCCATTACTCATTAGTAAGAACGCTCAGAAGAAAAGTCATAGCCAAGTTTCATTGCCTGTGGCATACACAGAAAAATCCTCTTAAATGGGCACTAAAGTCATCTTTCTACAAAAGGCCATTATCACAAATCCATCATCTCCATTACAGTTTTTGGGTTCAATGTAATTGACCAAAAGTTAGTACCAATCCAGGCTTAAAAAAAAACCCTGATTGTCATTTACTGATTTCAGAGATGAGGAGAGGTGAGGGTCTTTGCACCAATTCTTTCTAAGATTATCCCATCTTTCAAAATTTGATACATGGGGGAAGTTGTTTTCTTAAGCAAGAGCTTTCTTTAAAGATGTTGGCAGACTCCTTCCCCTTCAGCCATCTCCCACAATGGGCCCTAACACTATATCCTGCTATGGGGAGGGGAACATCATCTCTAGTTCTCAGTTCTTGCCCTAATGCCCTACCAGTTTCTCTCTAGCTGAGTCACTACAGAGAAAGATTGCTCCCTCCATCCCTTTTCCCAGAGACGCTGCTCTGCCACTGTGGAGGCAGGGGCTCACAACAGCTTGAAACAGCATATCTGCCTGCAAAATAGTTCAAGCCAGGCTCAGCAATGGATCTGGAGGCCAGACACCTCAAATAATTTATTCAACAAGTCCACGAGGCAGGATTTTGTGGATGCTTTTACAGAAGTAAAATAGTATGTGCATTCCTTCCTTGCCCCATGCCTTTTGTCAATGGTTGTAACACAACATGTTCCTGCTGTTTGACTGAAGCTGCTGAGTCTGTACCTAGAGTTCGGTATTCCCCATTGAGCAGCTTTCCAAATTTCCTGTTTTCTGCCAGATTTCCTGTTTGCTCGTGTGAGAACTGCACATGGATGTTCAGTCACTAGATGCACCATTGTTTTCACTGAATGCTTAAAAAATACGGATATTCTATTCTCCAAGATAAGTTTCCTAGAAAGCACTTACTCTAAGACTTATACTTTGGATGCTTCACTGCCAAATAATTTAAGAAGCAGCTAATAATCTTTGAGTTTGAGATGAACAATTTAAACCAGTCTTTCTACCCCTAGTTAAAAATTGAGTTGAATTAAATTGTGCCCTTGTGTTGGATTGTCTTTAAGTGACAATTAAAAACTTGCTGTGTGAAGTAAATATTGATGGCTTATGATTACTTTAATTGTTTTTTCCATCTGTAGTCCCTGTTGATTAGCAA